GAGAGAGAGAGAGAGAGAGAGAGAGAGAGAGAGAGAGAGAGAGAGAATGAAGTTTATTTAGCTTTCTCAGCTATTATGTGTTACAATTTACATACTTACAAATTTACATACTTAAGATGTAGCGTCCGCGGCCGACCGACGGGTGTACGCGGAGGAGGGCTGTCTATGCCTGCCGTGATCTGCGTTCTTCTCGGCGAGGATGGTTGCGCCACGTCCACAGGTACGACCTGAAGTTCGGCCGAACCCTGCGGGGTCGTCTGAGTGGCCACGTCGACGGTGGCAACACTGCAGTGGGCTTGAGTTCCCTGCTCTCGGAACCGGGCTCCTATATTTACAATCGGCTGTAGTCTCCACGGGAAGTAACTGTGTCCAAGTATCGGTGGAGGTATAGGCCTCTGGCGCAGTCGTGGATCCGATGGTGGTCCGGGATGCGACGGTGGCAGAGGCGGTACGCACTCTGGGCTTCCTGGTGGACGTCCTGGTGGTGGGACGTCTCGGGTTCGTCGCCGGACTCGTGGCAGGATCCCTTCGTGGTGCCAAGGCCCTCAGGAGCTCTCTTGGGTAGAAGTCGAGGCCCGTGGAGCTCGCTCGAGGAAGTGGTCGAGGCCTTGCAGAGGCTCGCTCGAGTGAAGATACCGAGGCCCAAGGGGCTCACTCGGTGATGATACCGAGGCCTAAGGAGGCTCGCTCGGCGATGCTACCGAGGCCCAAGGGGCTCACCCGGTGATGATACCGAGGCCTAAGGAGGCTCGCTCGGCGATGACACCGAGGCCTAAAGAGGCTCGCTCGGTGAGAATCCAAGGCCCAATGGGGCTCGCTTGGAGGAAAATAATCGAGGCCCGTGGAGCTCACCCGATCAATACTACATACGACTACTGACACTCGCGAACTGTCTCCGACGAGAAACACTTATTGAAATTTCGTCGCCGCCGGAGGTCTTAATATACCCATCGCCACTGAATTCTGAGTGCGAGTATGCTGCCGGCGCTGTGTCCGCCTATCGGCGGCGCGCCGTACTACCGGCGCTCGCAGGAGCGGCGCCGTGACGTGTGGTGCCCGCGCGCCTGATGTGGCGTGGGTCGCCACATAAGATATGCTTTTTTAACATTCGCTTGAACATATCAATTCGTTCACAATTTCTTATTTCGGCTGGTAAGGCATTGTATAATTTTACCCCCTCATAGCACACGCTTTTTTGTGCACTCCTAGTTCTACAGAATTTTATTGCAATAGTCCCTTCGTGCCTAGTTTTCCTTCCATCTTCTCTCCTAATTATTTCTAGTCTATTACTTAAGTGATTTGGCGCTAAATTATGTAGAATCTTAAATATAAATATACATACATTATAGTGTAGTCTCTGTTTTATAGACATAAATTGCAACGCTTGTAGCATATGTTCTATTTTAGTGTACCTATTACATTGTAGTATTACGCGCATAGCCCGATTCTGTGCTACTTGTAATTTCTTCAATTGTGTTTCTCCCATATCTACTAGTAGTGTTGCACAATATTCAAAGTGGGGTGCTATTATTGACTTGTATATTGTACATCTCGTGTAAGCCGATGTGTAGTTTCCTATCCTATTTAAAAAAACTCGTTTTTTTCCCAATTTTCTTTAGCATATATTCACAGTGGTTCTTAAATCTAAGCTTATCATCAATAATTATACCTAAGTATTTTATTACCTCTACACGTTCTATTTCCGTTCCGTCTAGGCATTTCACTACCATATTTCCTTTTAATTCCTTTCTTATACTTCTTAAAACCATAAATTTTGTTTTACTCGCATTCATTTTTAACATATTCAACCTCATCCACTCTTCTACTATATTAAATATTAAGGTTATTTTTCCTTCTATTTCTGCACTACCTTGTCCAGCTACATATATTAGGGTATCATCCGCAAACATTTTTATATTATAGCCTTCTGGGCAAATTTTTATTATATCATTAATATATATAATAAACAGCAGGGGTCCCAACACCGATCCCTGTGGCACACCGTGTTCAGTCATCATTAATTTCGAGCATTTATTCCCACTACGAACCTGTTGAAATCTATTTATAAGGTATGATTTTATCCATTCTAACACATATTTTTTCACGGAGAATCCAAATCTGCAATAAAAAATAGGGGTTTCTATTTAAGATTTCAAAGTCACCCCCCTCCCGCCCCCGGGGGTGGTGCAGGGGGTCGAGCTTTATGTTAATGGATGACCCTCTTCGAGGTGAACAACTTTTATTGCAACTTTTTTTAATCCGATTTGTATTTTTCCAAATATTCTGAAAAAGTTTTAAATGCCTCACCCTGTATGTACAGTGATGCTGATGTTATTGATTGAGTCATATTTAAACATAAAAAAAATTAAAAATAATAAATTAAAAATAATAAATATGAGAAGTTGTGCACATGGGAAGTTGTCAACTTATGAAATGTCACAGACAATTTATATGGTACAAATATTTTCTTCAATATCGATTTATATTGAGGTTATTTTTTTAATATGTAGATAAGATAGATTTCATATTTTATTCAATTTGGCAATTGTTAGGATCGCTTCTGAGATCCTGTTGATATCATTCTAAAACTGTAGGCGGTAATATTATAACCGTTCGGATCATTTTTTTTGTTTGGCGCGCTTTGCGTCGCGCATGATG